AGCTTGGCGCAGGAGTCTCTACCTAAAGAGGAGAAATGTGACTCATGCTACCTTGTAAGTTGTCTAATTTACATGTGGCGTGTTCTTAGGCTCAGGCTTGCTAATGTAAGCTACAGATAAGCCTACATTATTTAGGGGTGGGAATCACCAGGGGCCCCACAATATGATATTATCACATGCTTAACTCACGATACAACATTATTGCGATTTTAACACAATACGAGAGATTGCGATATGCTGAGCATTGCAATAAAATAGTAATGCGATGGATTGCAATCAATTACCATTTTTTAACTGCAAATTGTGTCCCCCAAAGGAAAACTTTGTTAACATTTGTTTTATCTTATAAGGTTTCAGCCCATTTGTCTAATTTCCTTTTTATTGCAGCAAAATGTATAATGTGAACTGAAAAAACAGCTGATTTTATTTTTCTAGTATCTACCAAAGTTTAATTTGTAGTTGCAATTTTAATGATTTATTTAATTAAAGAATTTGACACTTGGCTTTCTTGTATTGCCATGCAAAATATCACAATGCTATGCTGTATCAGTTTTTTTGTACAGAGTTTTAGCTTCATTGTGAGGGACTGCTGGGTGCAGTTATGGAGGCTAACGTTAAGTTAGCTGTCTATGGTTGCGAAGGGTGGTTTCACACCTAACCTATTTGGTTTAGTTAAAACAAACTCAGGTCCATTTGCACGGTTATTACGGTTTAGTACCAAACAACCAAACCGAGACTGCCTGAAACCATGGGTCTCCATCTGATTCTAAACAGACTCTGGTGCGGTTCATTTGCTGCTATGATAAGGAGAGTTGCCCAACAAAATTTCGTTGTACAGGGATGTGCAATGACAATAAAGGATCTATCTATTTGTGGTGTGAAAGAAAACAAAACAACCACAGGATTTTATGATAGCATGATTTCAACAGCTACACCAATAAAAAAATCCATCTTCTGATCATGAAATCTGTCCGCGATCTCATAACTGATCCTGATAAATGCCACGTATATCCCATAACCTGTTTATGCTAATGCATACATGTAACAATGGTTACACGTTTGCATGTCAGGGAGGGTATTTTTGCTGATTAAAAAGCTGGCCATCAGTGTATCTGACTCTGTGTACTGTCTGTTCATTAAGAAGTGTGTGACAGTGATGCCACAGTATTAAGCCCAGAATCATTACTGTACAAGACACTCTTTTCATTCTGTCTCTATGTTAGTTATTATTCAAAACATGTGACTGATTTGCAGTCTAATAATAGCCTACTAATAGGGCTGCAACTAACGATTATTTTACACTGTCGACTAATCTGTCAATTATTTCTTCGATTAGTCGACTAATCATTTTATCGAAAAATGTGTTAAAATGTTGAAAAATGTCGTCCTGTCTCTCCCAAACCCCAAAATCACATCATCTAATGTCTTGTTTCGTACGCCAAAGGGTTTTAGTTCACCGTCATGGGAGAGATATTTGAGCGTAAGAATCTGCAATAAGAGTATTTTGGGGTACTTTTATAGTTTTTCTATGAAAAATGACTCAAACCGATTAGTCGACTACTAAAATAGCCGATTATTTTAGTAGTCGATTAGTCATTGATTAGTCAACTACCTACTAAGCCCTACCTACTAATAATGCTTACAGTCAGTTATTTCTCTATGATCTCTTTGTGAAACCAACAAACATAAATATAAACACTTTAGAAGCATTAAGGTGCTGCTGCAGAAATAGAATTTGATTTCCCCACGTGGGTCCTGATGATGCAGGGTTACAAACACCATAACTGTCCAGTCAACCAGTTACTTCTCAGTCAGCAGGACTTCATGTTTACTTCTCTTAGTTCACTTGCAAAAAGTGAGTGTGAAGCACACCAAAACTAAAATGAAACAATGAGTGTGTTTAAAAGGTCTTTAGTATCCTGGTTTTGATTGGGTTTTTTAAGTATCCCGTTTTTGTGTTTGTGCATGTAAACACCATATCCTGAATTCAGAAACCGGGTTATGCCCTTTTCCCAGTTTCAAGAAACCCTTTTTTGCCAGTTGGAGTACTCCGATAGAAGCCGGGATACTGGAGCGTGTATACGCCTTATCCCAGCAACATGGCGGCAACGAGAGCTTCCCATTTTTAGAGCGACGAAGAGACTGAATTTTGCCTGAAAATGATGAAAGAACTCAACATAACTACGTGTTTAGACGGCAGAAGACACAGAAATGCCGACCTATTCAAGTCTGTTGTGGACAAGCTACGTGACGCTGGTTTTCCACCTCACACAGTTGAACAAGTTAGGTAGCGGTGGAAAATATTGAAGAAGCACTACTACTTAGCCAAGCATCAGAACCAGAAAAGTGGCTCTGAATATAATAAATATATCACATTTCCTGCTCAATCTATTGTAAACAAAAGACGTAAACACACGCCTGCGCAGATAGGATGCAGTGATCAGAAAAAGGGTTACTGCTATTTATCATGTATGAATAACCGGGTTTCTCTGTGTTCCACGTAAACATCATATCCCGGATATGCTCAAAGCCGGGATAAGCCTCAAAACCGGGATACTAAAGACCTTGTAAACACAGTCAATGTATCATTTTCCCCCTCTGGTGCCTAACAAATGAACCAAATTTGAAAGCACCCTAAATCCTTTTGAGCTGCTGCCTGGCTGTTACTCACGAAAATAAAATGACGACAATGAGTAACTTTACTGTGTAATTGGTAGCTTTTTACAAGGTTTCAAGCACGTATGTTAGCACTGTTACTGTGCATATGCTGCTGACATTAGCATTAGCTCAGAGGCTTCTAATTTTGTTTTAAATGACAAAATTCTCTGCTGTGAGTACTAGGGATGCACCGATATGGATTTTTACAACCGATACCGATAACCGATAATTACCTGCTGCTCATGGCCGATAAGCCATACAATAACAGATAATTTCTCATTTTTGTATTTAAAAAAAGAAGTGTATAACCTGTAGTTTACATAGGCCTACACTTGAGAGTGAGAACGGCTAAGTTGTAGTGAGCAAATATGGATGATTAGATATACCTTAGTCCTGACCTAACCAAATCAAACTGACATCACCATTGTTAACACAACAAAAACAAAGAACACTTCTGACCTCTACATATCTGCCAACATTAGGCTCTTAAAAAGAGGCAGATTTTCTGGGGTATTGATCAATGGCCTACCCTCAACACCACTGCCACCATATAACCCTACAGTACATATGGACATAATAAATACAAGGATGTGAAAGTAAAATTACTTTTAATGAGTACTAAATTTATAGTTAACGGTAAGAGAGCGGGAGATTATGAAGCCCGGTGTTTGTGTAATTCCCTGGTGTATCAGTGTATAAACTACACTGCAGAGTAGAGTCTCTACTAACAAACAGTGACAGCTGACTCATATGAACGGGTAAATGCACGTTGACAGGTCAAATAATCACTAACTGTAGCATGACATGGCTAGCAGTTATTAATTAGTTTAACAACAGAGTCGAGCCTTTTAAACGCTTGGTGTTGGATGTGAGCTGCTGCTGCTAATTAGCTCGTGCTAACACTCTGGAGACAGTTGTTCAGCCCTGAGTCTAACCTGTTTAATAGCTGCAGGAAGTTTGCTGATCTGGTAGGGTTTTGGGCAGTCGGAGATCAGACCCTCGGCATGATCCTTTCAGACAGCACACTGCAGTTGTTGTTGTTCTCTGTGTTTATTGGCGGCTCACAAACCGAGGTTAAAGGTAAATGCACTGCCACCCACTGTGTCGGTGTGTAAATGCTGCCCGTTAAGTCAAAGAAAGCAATCTTGGCACTATTTATCGACTATATTTTCAATTATCGGAACAATGTATAATAATAAAAATGTCGCATTATCAGCTAATAATTTATTGGCCTGATATCGTGCATCCCTAGTGAGTGCCATAAACAAAATTTTGCTGACTTCCATTGTATTGTGATGGAGGCAGAAATCTCACAGATGACACAAGAACAACTAAAACCAAAATACTGTATCTTCATGGTGAAATACTTCTGGTGGTAAGTGAGAAATTGTCTTCATTACACCTCTGACTCCAAACAGACTCGTTGATCACTTAGTTCCAATCACCAGGTTTTCTCCTAAATGGCAAATGGGTTACATTATTATTGTATGTGAAAAGCAAAATAGAAGCTAGTTTAAAAAGACGTATTATGTTAGCCCTCAGTGTATTCATGATGCTAACCCAGCTGGAGGACATACTGTAGTCTACACAGCTTTTAAAATCCCACTCTGCTTCTTCTTGCTCAGACATAAGTGGTACAATAATCAATACTTGCACTCAATTCTGAAACTCCTTATTTATAAAACACTAAAGCTAAAAGGTGTCAGATTACAACAGCTATCTGCTTTCCACAAGACCTAAACAACCAGCTGCTGTAAGCCTTCAATTTTTAGGGAACCCTGTGAAGCACCATGACTTTACTCTCCTCAGGAGACGATAGTTGCTGAGTCATTACTATGTGACCTTTCCCACCTCCAGCTTGTGTTTGAACTTGAATATTGGACAGTTTCACACGGATCGCTGATCACCTATCGTGTTTGCATATTTTTTTGGAGCAAGGAGATAATGTAATTTCTATTACAAAGACTGCAGCACAACAACGACTATCAACATACTACAATCAGTAAGCCACCGCCTCCGGAGCGATGCCGCTCTGCCTGCACACAATGAAGACGTCTCTGCCTCACAGTGCAGCCCTGCACCCAAAGGCAACGCTGCACCTGCAAGGACTGACTCTTGAGCACTGATTCAATAAGTTGCATATTTCAGTCTGCGTAAACACTTCAATCCTATCACCTTAGCCTTTCATTTCCTTTCCTCAAGCACATGTGTGTCTTTTGTTGCATAGCAAGTACCCAGGCAGCGACTCAGCATCATTCCGGTGCCAGTGCCTAACTGCTCACTCCAAAGTACACGCTGTAACATTTGCATTTGTCACCACCGCACCGTGTGCTTCGCCTTACCTGCGATTTCCGAGGGCAGTCCAGCGGTAGAAAGAAAAAACTAGCAGCAAGAGATGCTGCGACTAAACGCGGCGGCAGCAACACTGGTCCATGTCGTAACCTGGTGAAGACACGCCACGCAGCCTGCTGGATCTGTAAAGGATGCTCGGCATGACCACGTGACTCTGGAGGACAACCTGCCAATCTGAAGTCACTAATGGATGGACAACAACAACATGCTGTCTCAACAACTCGTGTTCTGACCTAGAGAGGTAGGTAATTAAACTACCATCATCATTAGTAACAGGAGAAGCAGTAGTAGTGGTGGTAGTGTTTGCAACTGTGAAATTAAACTTCAGGGCTGCAGCACATGCAGCCTTGTGAGAAATAGATTAATATATAAAGACTTAACAGAGGCTGCTCACTTCATTTACTAAGTATACACATGGGTCATTCCTAGCCTTCAGTGCCATTTGAGTTCCCATGACATAATGTGGTATGTTTTTGTGTTTAACAAATGGGCTAATACTTTCCTCCAAAAAGCTTGTCTCACATGGTTAACCCACATTTATCATAGAACAGTATGATATGTACAAAGGATTAAATACATATAAAATAATGACCCCATTTTTAGCATAACTAGGTCAAATTGCTATGTCCCCAATCATGTTTGCTCAATCTAAATGACAAATATATAGAAATCAAACAAATTATACATCTTTCATTGTTGCATAGTCTTATTTATAATATTCTCCACCAGATATTACTAGTCGCTATTTACACATTTTTAATGGTTCATTTTTTAAAAAAATATGTCCCTGAGTCGAGTTTCCCCCATCACTCTGATGCAAGTCCCCCTGAACACGCCCTCTGACTATTCCTCTTCCCTAACATGACTCAGGGAGTAGCATTTTTGGCAAGGAAATCTTCTACAAGAAGCAAAGCATGTATCTCTTTAATCAACCTTTTTTCTACTGTTATAGAATGCTTGTCTGATGTGGTAAAGCATAACATGTCCACCCTATTGTGCTTATTCATAGGGCAAACCGATCATTTTTTGCATATGCATGTATGCATATTTACACAAACACACACTCACACACAAACAAAATGCATAAAAAAACAGGATTGCCAGGTGACAGTGCAGAGCTGCATCTTTATTCAATGAAAAATTACATATGGAGATAAATTTCTATAATTTGATTTTTAAATCCAACAAAAGTTCCAGCTTTTCGAGCTTCAAACTGAACAAAGAAGCGGCTGATTGAATTGTGCAAATATAATACATCACATGACAAACAAGAAAAATAGACCAATACGTTTTAAAGATACAAGATAAATTCAACCCACACAAGTATTACAGCTTTATTACTGAGGCTTCAGACAAGTGAAATCACCACCACTGTGTGGCAGTAATGTGTTACATTTAAAGTACTGAGACAGACTGACACACAAGGCTGGCTCATCAACCAGGCAAAGTGGGACACTACTTCTAGGCCCCTAAAGCTCTAATTCACTGTGATTCTGTCATTTGAATGATTTTGTTGAAGCCAGTATGACACATTATTACTAATAGTTTGGCTCTTTTGAGGGGTCTTTTGTCAAATAAAGGTTTTAGAACATTTCACTTGTGGTTTGGTCTCATGGTTAGGACATGTGCTGTGCCAGATACTTTGTATGCAGGTTCCAAGTTCAATTCTCATCCTCTGCTTCATGTCATTTCCCTGCTCTTTAACGCCGTACTTTACCCCTCTACCGTCTACTTTTAATAAAGAAAAAATCCCCTAAGCTCACATTATTCTTCCATGGTGCATATTCCTAACTACATGAGTGATTAATTAGGAGACTAAAAATAAACTCACACATTATAAACCTGGACCAGTCAGGAGAGGTTAGTTGCCTTGAGTGCAAGAACATTTAAAAATTCATATTTTTTAATCTAACCTTTGGCTGAAATTGATACTTAAACTGCTTAGGTGCTAATTGCGTGCATGATATTGTTATTTTAAAGGTCCAGTGTGTAGGATTTAGTGGCATCTAGTGGTGAGGTTGCATAACTGATATTTCTAAAAGTGCATAGGAGAACTAAAGTGGCTGACACAAACACAAATAGCCCTATCTATAGCCAGTGTTTACTTTGTCTTTCTGGGCTACTGTTGAACAACATGGAGGACTCTTGTCTAGATACAAAGACACCAATGAAAACATAGCTATGAATATTATATTCCATTTCTGCCCCTAATCCTACACACTGGACCTTTAAAACTAGTCTCTGAGTCACACTCCAAGTCTGCGGTGCTTCACAAGAATCAAACTTCCAGTTCTGAAACTGACAGTAACTTTAAAATGTCCAGTCAGTTGCCTTGTCCCTTCCCACTAAACCACAGACTAAATTCTTTCAAAAATAGATGGCTTCTTTTACAGCACACAAGGGCAATGTCTAAAATGTGCCAGCTCAGTTCAGTGTAGGATAAATAAAAACTCAGAACCATTAAAATAATTAAAGATTTAATTCATTAAATGTAAATTTAAATGTAAAATTCACCTAAAACGTCATCCAAGGCATACCCAAAGTACACTGAAAGCTGGTCTTGTGCCATTTTAAGTACATGGTCTTACATAGTCTCATATAACTGAGGTTTTTTTCCCCCCAAACAGTAATACATATATATTTATCTTAACCGGAATATTTTCTTGAAAAAAGATGCAGCAGATGACTAGAACTGGGAGGTATTTGCTGGAAAACACAATGGGACCATAGCACAAAGCCTCACCTGGTTCAAATTCAAAGTAGATAACAATATAACAAACAAATAAACATTTTACAAAAGCTTTTCAAAGAGGGTAAAATAATGCACGGAATGTGTGAATATGAGTCAACAACAAGTCAAAAAACAAAAGTCAACAAAGACAGAACTGTCTGCTCAGGAGCTTACTATATATAAAAACTCTTCTAGAAAACCCAAATAGATAAAAAAAATATATATAGTGTTTTTTCCCCTTAAACCATTTGTCTATCATTTATGTACATTTGTAACAGCCTATGATGACAGTTAGGGGTTAAAAACTGCTCTTGAGGTTAAGTGTGTCATTTACTACAAGACCCATAAGCCATCGGGCCAGTCGCTGACTATTGATAGGCTGTAAGGCCACAGGAACTAGGATAGGCACTTTCTTCACCACAGGTCCTTGCTGCCTATTGAAGCCAATACTGTCAGTATGGAAGCTCCTATAGGCTCAAGTGAGGTGTCAGTCTAAAGATCAGAGTTCAGCCACCATTTGACAGTGAGGAGTCGATCATATTTAACCCTCCCAACAACACAAAGTTGCACACCAAATAAACACACACCTAATAAACTATTTTCGAATACATTTTGTGAGGGAAATTTAACTAGGTTTTAGTTCACACACTGAAACAGATGGAAGACAGTCTGAACATTTGTGCATGCAACAGATGTGGAAATACGCAACATGGCTTCAGTCCACTAGAGGGAGCCCTAACTTCAAATATAAAATGAAAACACACATTTTTAAAAGTTACTTGTACACAGTATCCCAGCACAAATACCAAAAAGTTGTTTAAAAGCTCATGATGCCTTAGAAATGAAGGAAATACCTTAGGAATTATAACAGGAAGAGGAAGACTAAAGTCTCTCAGGCATTTTATTTTTTAAGCCTTTTCTTTTCCCCAAAACATTAATGACCAGACTTTTCTTTTTTTTTTTTTACATCATTCTTAAGATTAGTTTATGGCAAGAAGTGCCACACAATATCCTGTCAAGAGGAAGACAGATTATGTGGCAGACTTTACAATGGTGTCAGGAAACCCTGTTAATGTTTAAAGTTCAAAGATGTTTAAATCTGCGAGGCAGACGTTTCACAGCTGGAGGATCATCCAAATGGAACATTTTCCACAGCCATTAAATTGGTTAAAGAGAGAAAGGGAGATTTTTTTTGAACATTTTGTTCACATGGAAGCCATGATGTAGGTTATTGTGTTCAGGTTTCCTGCTGGGACTATCCTTCAGTTTTATGATGAAGATGATTTCACCCTCCTCAGGCACACCAGTTTAACATGATCAACACCGTCTGAGTATTGTTACAGTGTCAGACATGAAGGCACAGCAATGGATTTATATAAAAGAAGAAAGAGTTAAAAGTGGAGATCTGTACTTAAAGTGGGGATCAGTTGCGGAACTGAGTCAGCAGTGCAAAATGCTGAGCGCAAGTACAGTAGAAACTTTCTCACAACACATTTAATGAACTTACAGGGAATGTAATCACTGCCTTTGAGCTTGTCTCCTAACGTGACCTCAGACAGACTTCCTCAGGTGCTTTTACGGGATGTTTCATTTGGCTCCGTCAGTATCTGAGGCTTGAATCTTGCGGCCCAGGGGCAACGCTGTTAGTCAGCGATTACAGGTCTCACAAAGAGAGAAATAACTTCAAAACCACCAGTCATTAATTTCACTCTGTTCAAACACCTTTCTTCCTCTGATGAACTCGGTGACAACCCAGTGCTCATGTTGTAATCAACAAGTACAATTGCAGCTTTACATTTGCTTAGAGTTTTGTCTTTTCTGTTTCTTGATTTAAAGCTGCGCTAATCATTATTTTTATATCAACAATGGATCAAATTACTCTGTCTGAAGTGAAAGGGGTCACTCATTGTGCCAAACCCACTGAGAGTTATCACCAAATTCTTGAGTCTTTCAGTCTTTTTTAGATCGTTGTTTTGGTTTTCTGGCCCACAACTTCTCAGAAATAAACCCACTGTACTCTACCTGCCCAGCACCAAACATATAAACATGTGAAGCATAGAGCAGCTAAAGAGCCTGATATTTTCCTCAGGAGCCTGTGGGAACCAATGACTGTTCTAAAGATGGATGACACATCTCCAATTCCACCCACTGTACAAAAATGAAGCCAAACTATTCCGGCTGGTGCCATCTTGTGCTGGTTATTTCATTTGGAGCCAGAATCTGTAGAGTCAGAGGAGTCAGATTCAGTATCAAGTTCCTTGAGCCATGAGACCAATAGCGAGCACAGCCATTAATCGGGGGCACACTGATAGGTGCACAGCTGTAATCATGACATCAGCCTCAAATAACTGGTTATAACCAAACTCACCCGAAACACTTGAACATACACCAGCGCGATAA